GTGTGTGTGTGTGTATTTTTATACATATAAATTAGTAGATGGATTAATATTGTAATTTGAGTTACTTGATCTTTTCCATTTGGAGAAAACAAAAAAAAATAGAGTATGTAAGGATTGAAAAAAAATCAGCAAATGCCTCTCAGTCAGTTAAATACATTCAGATGCTCACTTTATGTGTGATTTCAAAGAACAGCTTCATTACTCTGTATTTATTCTACACAGTTGCATAGGAAAAACAATAAGGTAATACTTTGGTTATAGTTTACTCTGTAGGTGGTTTGTCCAATAAAACAGAAGTTGTCTTTTATGAAGGTTTCAGCAAACATTGATACAAAATGCATGTCTGATAGAGCTGGGATTGCTTTGCCTAGACATTATCATTTATTTAAAAATAAAAATGTAGCTAATAAAATGTTTTTGTTTTTATCAAAGTCTTTCTTTTTATCTGGATGGCATGGCAGCTTGGTGGTGAAGGTTGTGAGTTCTTTGAGGACGTTCTTGGGTACTCTGGTTTTCTTAGACTAAAAAATGTACTTGTTTGGTAACTGAGTATGAATGGTTGTCATCTTGTTTGTCTCAGTGGACTGGTGACTTGTTCAAAGGGTTGGAGGCATAGTGGAGATTGACAGATTTTTATTTTTTTAAGGCCGATACCAATATTGATTATTTTGACATCAGTTTAACCAATCCCCAATATGTACTGCCGATATTTTTGTTCTGATTCTTGAAGCCGATATTGCTTTTTTATTTTTTTTTACCATTTTTATGGTAAAAATGACACAATGATAACAAATGTTACACAAGTCTCAATTTAAACAAAAAATAAAGATTAACAAATAAGTGCTAGTGCTACATCTTCTATTAGATTTATATATTAAACAGTTTATTCTTTACAGGGTTTGACAAGTTTTTTATAATTTTCTTTACATTTTTTATTACCTACACTGTTGGACAAGTGACACCAAAAGTTACCTACCCAAAACAAAATGTTCAAAATTTGATAAATATAAGAAAAACATATACTGGAGAAACTAACTATATTTTAATGTTTATACAAAATTATTATCCTGGTTACTAGTGCTGTAGTACTTGAAACCGGTCTTGGTCTTAAGATTGGTCTCAAGACCAGTTTTTGATGGTCTTGGTCTTGTCTCGGTCTCTTACATTGAGGACTCGGAATTTTATTTCAAGATCAGTCAAGACCACAACTTTGGAAATATCCCTAAATAGCCAGATTATTGTCCATTTTATAAGCTAACATTATTGCTTTCATTGTATTTAAAATGTAGCTACTGATTCAAATCCAAACCCGATTTGTTGCTATTTATATATTTTTGTTACCGGCTGTCACCCATCCGCACCCTCCGTCACTCGCACGCAACACTCCCAGAAAGTGAGCAGTGGTTCTCTGGAAGCGATAAAGGATGTCTTTTAAATTTTAGGTAAAAAATTTGGCTATATTATTCATAAAAAATATCATTGTAAAACAACAACAACCAGGAGAAAGTGCACAGCAACTTGTACATTCAGCAGTGCTTCGCTTTCAGAGACAGTGGGGACAATGTCAAACTTTTATCATCACTAATGTTAACAATCTGCCTCTGTAGAAAAATTCTTTCCTCTGCCCTCACACAAATATTTTGTCAATATTTGCTCTATATATTAAGTTAGCTAAAGTGGGGGAAAACGTATTTAGTCGGCACCAATTGTTCAAGTTCTCCCACTTAAAAAGATGAGAGAGGCCTGTGATTGACATCATAGTTAGACCTCAACTATGAGACAAAATACTTTTACTCCACTGTACATATGTACACAATACTCCATCTTTTAGGAAACATTTTTTTTATCTGGTCTTGTCTTGGTCTCGCCCTCCCTTGGTCTTGGTCTCGACTTGGTCCAAACCCTAAAAGTCTTGGTCTTGTCTTGGTCTCGCCCTCCCTTGGTCTTGGTCTCGACTTGGTCCAAACCCTAAAAGTCTTGGTCTTGTCTTGGCCTCGAGACACTGTGGTCTTGGTCTTGACTTGGTCTCGGGTTAGGTGGTCTTGACTACAACACTACTGGTTACACACAGACGTATATAACATATAACATCTGATTGGTATTTTTGATATTGGTATTGGTAAATGGGGATGGGTAAAAACCAATGTGAGAAGGGGCTTCATAAGTGGGCTCATTACTCTCCCCAGAGAGACACTGAGCTTTGCGTCCCTCGGATGAAGAACACCATGTTAGAAACACTGTATTCTGAGCTTCTCAGGATCCATAAAAGGTTCTCCAAGAATAATTTTCCTTTGACAACTCAGAGCCAGGCAGTGGCCTAAGTAGTGCAAAGAGGTCTGTAATTCAATGCTACAGGCATCACACAGACCATTGTCATGGAGTCCCATCACCCTTTTGTGGCAACTGAGCAAGTTGTGCCCAGTTAATGCCCGTCTACAGTCCGTCAGCTCCCTCCAACGGATTGAGTGTTGACGTCTGATCCATGCCTGTAGGGCAGTCCTATAAATGCCTACAACAGGCTCTGGTCCTTTGAAGATTTATCTCTTTGGCAAATACAAACTTTTAAATACCACAACATCAGCTCATTTTCTTAGCTTTAATTTAAGCCATATTTTATAGAAACTGAATGAGAAATAAGGTCGCTATGAATGAATATTGAATATTTGTATATACATAATATGAATATCTTTGTGACAGATTAATGCACATCATCAGTGGAACTGTAGCGTTTTGTTGACATGAC